AAAATCAACTTTAATTGAAGTTAGAAGAGCAAATGTAGATAGACTTAATTTGTGCATAGCTCAAAATGGGAAATTATTCGAACATTTGATGTGAATTTATGCTTTTTCGAATGAAATAAATAAATAGTTATTGCTTTTATAACTTTTTTATATTTTCCTTAAGAATTAGATACACTTCCGATAAAAATCAAGTAGGCAAACCCTACATTTTCTGAAAGCTCATGGTATGGGCTATCCTGGTATGGCCTCATTTACAGGGTGTTCCATTTGAAAAAACTGAGAAAAAAGTGGTCCCGAGTTTTGGTTGTCCCTGTATGGGAAAAGCGCCATTCGGTAAAATTATGAATAGGAAATGAAAATACACTATTTTCGAGAATATTCGGCAGAAAAAAAAATTTATTCCAAATTATTGATTTAGAGATATTTGATGTTGAATAAACCCATTTTGTTACCTAAATCCCACCATAAATTCCTAACCACCCAGTATAAACCCATACAACCCTATATTTTTGAGAAACACTCTTCCAAAGAAATTTAATCGAGTAAAAATATATAGGGTGTTTCCTTTAAAAAACATTACTTCGATAACTCATACATTTATCGGACACCCTGTATATTGGTAGTTATTTTTGGAACGTAGTTTTCAATGCCCTCTACAACTTTTATTTGAAGCATTTTTTCCTATCTCATATTGGGAAGCAGCTATCGTTCACCCACGCATCGTTGATACACCCTGTATAAAGGACCCTGCAATAATCTTATGGAAATTGGGTTTCTGTCAAATTGTCTGAATTTTTGATATGTTGTAGATTTTGTCATCCTGAACAAAAGTCCCTATGAGCACAAAGTGCCAAAATCAGATTGGACAAACTGACCGTTGACAGCTGTCAATACACTGTCAACGAAGAATAGAAAAGTAAATATTCTCTATTGACATTGAAGGGGCGTTTGATTTGAAACTCGATCGAGCCAGCGTCGAGGAGACCGAGAAGTGATGACATCATAATAGAGCATTGAATCAAATCAAATAAAACAGAGTAAAAAACATAACCTCGCTTTTTTGTGATTCTTGTTTCTGGTTTGTGTCTCAAAATATTGATCAAAAAGTAAAGAAAATGGAAAAACTTTTAATAATAAGGGGTAATGGCCCTGAAATGCAGCATATACCACAAATGCCCGATTCGCTCTCATATTCCATGACTGTGATTACTGGTAATTAGATCTGGACAGAGAAAATGTATTTTCCAAACACACATTTTGTGTTTTTTATGACTAATAATTGTAGCTATAAGACAAAAGCGGCTACGTAATTTGTTGACTTCTTGTCTGGTTTTTAATTTTGAAATTTAAATTTGTTTGTAAGTTAATTAAAAAGAGATAGGTAGAGACAAAGACAAATTTCTCCCTCTTCTCGATCCTTCTGCTCTGAGAACATCGAGCTCGCTCTATGTTCCCGTTCCAAAGCAAAACAAACACTTTAGGGATCTCTCGGAGTTTCAATTCAAACACGTTTGCAGCGCTCGGAGATCTCCGATGATCAAATCAAACGCACCATGAGAGTTTGGGCTTTTGAGGGAGCTGAATTCAATTCTAATCTCAGATTGGACAAAATTGACAATTGACAGCTGCCAATTCACTGTCAACGAGGGCGGGAGCTTTGGCAGCTCCGTAGCTGCCAAAATATTCATTTTGGCAC